GTGTGTGGATCCACACAGTTTTGAATGTTTATAGTTTAAACATGCCACATTTAGCTTTAAGACTTTTAACTGACTTGTTAAAAGTTTGAGAAATAAAAGTATAGGTGTGAAGAGCTAACATAAAAGTTTTTAATCTTGTTACTTCTTCTTCAATATGTTTTTCACTATTATAGCCTATAACCCTAGTTTCTTAAAGCACAGAGTTCCCCATCATTTATGTTTAATGTATTTTGAATAGCCAACGTAGATTTTGGTCTTTCAGAAGCTAGTTCAGTGCCTCGTCGAGATAGTCTGTTTGGCACAAGGTACGAGAAGACAAGAACGGATAGTAAAAATGAAGGAACTTCTCTCCCTCCCATCAATCAGGTACGACATTTTATACTGTAGCCTAGTCAAGTGCAAGATTAAATGCTTAATAAGTATATCATTAAAAGTTTAGTAGAAAATCACATATTTAGAGCAGTTTATAAATGATAAATACTTGTGTTGATATGCATACATTGTACTGATTAAACACCAGACAAAATGCTATCTAGCTAAAATAAATGTAATTAACTCAAAGGTTTCTACAGTTTTTTTAGCTAAAGAAATACAAAAAGTAAAGTGAATTTAATGAAATTCTTCTTGGAGACTTATGTGAAATCAAAAATAGCAATCTGTTTTTTTAGTCCAGACAATAAATTTTACTTTGAGACTGTCAACTAAAAATGGTTGTTGTTTTTAATTGTATTTAAAGTAAATTTCAGTTTAAATGTGAATTACGTAAAGAAAACATTGTAGTTTGTCGAAAGATGACCCGCTTAACTGCCTCAATAGTTTTATTGTTTTTTGAAGTATGGTAATACATTGGTAAGAAGTCCACCACATGATGTAATGTTCCCACCTTTTCACAACTGTTGCATGTTCAAATGTTATATCGATAGCTGTAAATGAAAATGTCTGATTATATCAGAAGTAAAGATTTTGTCCAGTATAAACTATGTCTGTTATCAATCTTTGTGAAAGACGAGTACTCTATGTATTGTAATTAACCTCTCATCTTCAACTTAAAAAAGAAAAAATACTTTTTAAAAGCTCATTAATTTCACCTAAGTTTTATTATTGAGGAGTTTGAACTAACCAGCTGGTTCTTAAGTTGATTAATATGTTACTAGTTATCGATCATACAAACAGTACATTATGAAAATGTTTTTTGTTCTAAGTTGAACTTTTGGCCCAATACGTACAGGACATATCTTTGTTTTTAGGAGCAGTTTATCAGCATGTGGAAAACTCTGTATAACATGTTTATTGGCCATTGGAATGGTAGCTGAAATATTATACAATAAGGTTCCTACCTACAATGGCAATGGAATGATAAAATGTTTGTTCATCAGGTTGTTGTTTTATCACCATGTGGAAAACTCTGTATAACATGTTTATTGGCCATCCTGATGAACAAACATTTTATCATTCCATTGCCATTGTAAGTAAGAACCTTATTGTATAATATTTCAGCTACCATTCCATTGTTGTTTTATCACCATGTGGAAAACTCTGTATAACATGTTTATTGGCCATCCTGATGAACAAACATTTTATCATTCCATTGCCATTGTAGGTAGGAACCTTATTGTATAATATTTCAGCTACCATTCCATTGTTGTTTTATCAGCATGTGGAAAACTCTGTATAACATGTTTATTGGCCATCCTGATGAACAAACATTTTATCATTCCATTGCCATTGTAAGTAGGAACCTTATTGTATAATATTTCAGCTACCATTCAGCCGTCTTTATTGATTATAGTAATGATTTGTTGGCAGAATGTATTTTATAATTTGTGGTGATAATTTAAACGGTGATATATCCACACTTTGGAAAAACCATTGATTTGTTGTGAGTGAAATCATTTGATAAAATTATACAAAGCTATGATACTGCATTTAATATATTTATATTAAAAGTTTATTTCCACGTGATTTACACAACCTATGAATATGAAAAAAATGTATTACTAAATTTTTGGTATGTTGAAGCCAATCTGTTACTTTACTTGTTAGGGACTATGTTATTACAACTTGGTGAAATAGGAAGAGAAACTGGCCACCCAAGAAATCTGTCAGTAGACAGTCAGTTAGAAAATGAAGGGTTTTCTCTCGAATCATCTCCTGTAGAGAGCTGCAGTGTTCTTGGTGATCCTCTTCAATCAGCTGTGTCTCCAAGCTCCGAATCACCACCAGTTCACAAGCTTCAGGCAGAGGTGGACAGTGGCCATTTTGAAGATAAGACATCCAACCTTAGTAGCCATGAAGTAGGGTGGATCACCAAGGATGTCTACGGAGACAGCGATAAGCAGCAGTCCGGGAAAAAGGCTTCTTTTGAAATGGCCGAGGCTGTACAGGAAGTCTCCGTCCCAAGTTGTCCAGATGCAGACGTAGATGACTTTTCAGAAACAGTTTGTGATCAAGATGCAGAATCTGCATCCTTATCGTCAGATAATAATTTTCAGTGGAGGATAACATTCGACCAACTTCGAGCAGCGCTTCACACTCAGCAGCCACTGGTGGATTTTCTGGAAAAAAAAATTAATTTGGTAGCCGAAATCGAGAGATTTCGGAACCGGCACCTTGAGAGATCTGTAAGCCTTTCATCAACGCCTTCCACTCCTTAAACTTGTACTTGGAAGTATTAGTGGCTCTTTTCTATGATGGAGCTAATCGTTTGAATGTCTACAAATGTTCATTTTACAATCTCAAGGAGTTTTCCGTAGTATTGATTGAAATATTCTAAACAATTTTGTAAGATAGCCTGTAAATTTGTTTTAAAATGTCTTAAAAAGTTTTATGTAAAAAAATATCTCTAAAGCAGAAATTTACAAATATGTTTTACCTTCTGATGGTGAAAGTGCTTTAATTAGTAGCTCGTTCAAATATCCATGTTATTAACAAGTACATATGTTTGTATATAAAAATCAAAGGTTTTGAATTCTAGTTTTACCCCTTTAGGGAGTGGCCATGTCTTTTCCAGAAGCAACGATCATTCTGTCATGTAAGTTAGTTCATGACATTTTTGTTACCAACCTTTCCCTGCTCCAACAGTGTGGTAAACTGATGACTTATTGCTAATGACCTGCTCTTGGCGTTTTCTTTGGGAAATAAAGATATTTTTTTTTCAAGGTAAAGAAGATTAGACTATAAAATGATTTATAAATATCATTAATGTTTCAGTGATAGAACTAAGTAATTCTAAGTATTAAAAATGTATGTAATGTAAGCTTTGTCAATGTCCAACTTGTGACCCGTAAATACTATAACAAAGAGAATTTCATACAGTGATGAAGTGGGGAATTAAAATCTTAATATAGATTACAGAATGTGTCGGCCAAAGAAGAAAACTAGTACTTATCAGCTATGGGAAATAGTATTCAAAACAGTAAATAAAATTAATATTTCATTACAGTTCATCTGTTTCTTACAGATAAAGTTTGACAAAGGCATGTATATTTCGAAGACTTCTTACAGTAAATATTTCCGAAGCAAACGATTACATTTAATCACAGAAATGAAATGTTTTAAAAATGGTTCATTTAATCCATGTTTTCTTAATTTCAAAAATTAAAATGCCCCTATTGTTGTACAGTTGCTGTAATACAACTGTTATATAGCAAGACCTCCACTAGGATCAGTAGAGCTATAAAGCCACCATATATATACTGATAAGAAACCTTCAGCTACATGTGTGTATTTTCACTTATTATATTGTTAGTCTTAAGTAACGTTTTAGGAAATAAAACATTTGTTCAAGCTTTAGTAAACAGAATTAGTGACCATTTATAATATAAGTAAGTAAGGCAAGGTGTGATTTTTATCTTAACATGTATACAGATAATAAAAATAACACAAACAGGAGATTATATGCTGGAAAAGTGATCTCAAGGTATTTTACATGGGATGATGTTAATTTGTATTATTCTTCTAACGAGTGCTCCAGATTTCAACTGTAGTTTTTATGATGTGTAGTGGATGCCTTGATCAAGGAATTTTAGTTTATGTGTCCTGTTTCAAAAGATTTAAGTAATTATCAACTAAAAATTTGATTGTTGAATTAGTGTATGATATATTAATTTATTTCTTTTACAACATAGTTTCAAAAGCAATGCACAAATAAAATGGGATTAATTTTATACATATTGCCAATTCACCAGTGCAGTGTGATTTTTCAGTTAAGAGTGCCATGGATAGTCTCAAGTATCTGTATGTCTTGCGTCTACTTAAAACTTCTGGTGAATCTTATCCAAGTAAACAAATCAGCCTAAGTATAAGATTTGTATATACTCATGTGTCTGTTTTTTGATTATGTTTCTTTAAATATTAAAAAGAATCTTAAAATCATAGTTACAAAAAAGTTATTTTCCAGTCAAAAATCTTGTACCAAATCAATTTTGACCTGAAACATGATGCATTTAAAGAGTAGTGTAACAGCATTACTGATACATCTGTATGTACAGATTAATGTAACAGCGTTACTGATACATCTGTATGTACAGATTAATGTAACAGCATTACTGATACATCTGTATGTACAGATTAATGTAACAGCGTTACTGATACATCTGTATGTACAGATTAATGTAACATCATCACTGATACATCTGTATGTACAGATTAATGTAACATCATTACTGATACATCTGTATGTACAGATTAATGTAACAGCATTACTGATACATCTGTGTGTACAGATTAATGTAACAGCGTTACTGATACATCTGTATGTACAGATTAATGTAACAGCATTACTGATACATCTGTATGTACAGATTAATGTAACAGCATTACTGATACATCTGTATGTACAGATTAATGTAACAGCATCACTGATACGTCTTTACATACAGATTAATGTAACAGCATCACTGATACGTCTTTACATACAGATTAATGTAACAGCATCACTGATACGTCTTTACATACAGATTAATGTAACAGCATCACTGATACGTCTTTACATACAGATTAATGTGACAGCGTTACTGATACGTCTTTACGTACATATGACGTGACAGCGTTACTTATATGTCTGTACGTACATATTAACGTGACAGCATTACTGATACGTCTGTACGTACATATTAATGTGACAGCGTTACTGATACGTCTTTACGTACATATTAACGTGACAGCGTTACTGATACGTCTGTATGTACAGATTAATGTGACAGCATTACCAATACGTCTGTATGTACAGATTAATGTGACAGATCTGAGGTAACAAAGAACTTAAAATCTTCAGTTGTGTTTTCATTATTGTTGTATAATGTGATGAAACTGTTTTTAGTATTTCAAACCTGCGTT